CCCCAAAACCCCAAAACCCCATGATCTATAAAATGCAAAGTTTGATGTTTTTTTATATAAAAAATTAAAAAATAAAGATAAATAATTTTAAGTTTAAAAATGGAATCTAAACCAGCAGATTTAAATATCACTAGCAGTTTTGTAGAGTCATGCAAGAATCTATTTTAATCGAAAACCTTCCTAATTGTTGCAGGTACGGCCCTAACAACTATTGCTCTCTTTGGAATTTACTAAAAATTAAATTAAAAAGATATACCCTTGGAATAAAAGTCAAGGATATTTATTTAAAGAGAATTGCAAAGACTTAAAAACCCAAAATTAATTGAAGATGGAATCCTTTAAAAAAATGATTTCTTTGACATTATATTGTTGATACAACTTAAAAGTAAATTAAAACTCCTAAAAGAGCAACCTAAATTCTAAAGGGAAAGAATTAAGGTTCTTAAATAAGCATTGAGGACTAATGTCTTTGTTGATTATTTCAACAAAACAAAGGAATTTATGGATTAAGAAGTAAACAATTATGAGGTATAGTATGAGAAAATTTTAGATGGAATAGGAATCACCCACGAATGTTGGGAATAATCAAAATATGTTTACATTTAAAGAGATGGCTTTTTTAGAGGAGATGATGGCGAGTTGCATAGCATTAAGCAGGTAGAGAAAAAGAGTTATGAATATCTTCCCACATATAACCTAGGAAGCAGTCTCACCAAAGAACGAGTCAAAATGATACTAATTGAAGCAAACAAGTGTGCCAATGATATTATCTAAAACCACTTGACAAATTGGATATCGGAGGAGGACAATGAGTATGTGGCTTTGATTTTTGAAGCTCTGGCATATGATTTTGTATTTATAGATCAAGGAATTCAGGAAAATATATTCAGATATGCCACTCATATATATGAATTGCAGAGTGATCCTGAAATCACTGAAAACCTTCAGGGCTTTCTTTCTAGTTGAAAGATTATTTAAATTAAATCTATTACTATCTAACTTCTATATATAAACCAACTAGATTATACGAATTCAGCAAATACATAAACGCAATTCTAGCGAGACTATATTTATATAATATACTTTAAATATCATTATGATACTCTCTAAATGCCTAATATCTTGGAACATTGGGGTTTTGGGGTTTATATATAGAAG